CCCCCCCATAAAACTAAAACACATAACCGACTACACCGACAAAATGAAAGACCAAACCGACAAAATACATAAAACGAACACGACACGACTTTTAAACATTAAAAAAACCCACATAAAACTAAAACACACGAAACGACTAAACGGACAAAAGGAAAGAGCTGCCAAGACGAGACGGTCAAGAGCAAGAAGTGGAAGATGCAATGGAAACCTTTGGACTGCGGCCCATAGCTGGGCTCTGGGGGTCTCAGGTAGGAATCTTCCCGCCTGGGCAAGTTGCGGTCAGCGCTTTGAGCTCGTTTCTTACGGCCAAACCGTTTGAATAGACCACTGCCAAACCCGCCTTTCTTTTTATCTGGAAAGAGGAATTATCAGTCACGGGGTAACCAAGAGCAGCCAGAATCAACACAGAAATGGTTTCTGCACAGACCTCACCCTAGGCATAACCCTAACCTCAACCCACTTTTTAAAGGTTTTTTTCTCCCTTAATAAAGAACACATTTTCAGGAACGAATTCTGCACGAGAGGGTGGGGAAAACGAACACAACACAAGTACACGAACCAAAATTGCGGTAAATTTGGTACTTTCACGGAAGAAAAAAAAAAGGGTAAATTTTTTTTTTAAGTTAACAAAAGAGGTAGAAAGTATAAAAACAGAACATAAGTGTACACCAAAATAAAACTGCGTAAAAGCATAGCAGAATCCAGTAGTACAGAACTAAAAAAAGAATTATACTGTGTATAAGTAAAAAACAGTGCGAAAAAATAAAAAGTAGTGAAACCAAAATACAAAAAAAGTTACAAAAACCCAGACACGTGTACACTTTTCTACAAGCTAGCACCCAAAATGAACGAAATAAAAAAGGGGAAGAAAACGTTATTACATCGTGTGAGAACGTAAAAGAAATAAAATGAGCGAAAATGTAAAAACCAACATTTCACACATATTTCGCCTTTTCCTACACAACACCAAATGAGACACAACTTCCAGGAAACAAAACTGCACCAGACAATAAGGAAATCGGAAGAAAATGTTAAAATCAAGCTGCCAAAAAAAAGAGCGATAAAAAAAGAGCGATAAAACGATAAAAAAAAGAGCGATAAAAAAAAAGCGATAAAAAAAAGGAACTCGAACAACAGAACACGTTTGCCCTCGGTGTTAAAAATTCAGCACAAAATATTGTGTACAAAATGAGCAAACTAAAGATCTATCCGCAGACAAAGTTCCCGTAACATATTATGAATAAAAGGGTGAATATAAAGCATTTTCGTGAGAACGGAAAGAAGAAAATAGAAAGAGGCCAATTCTAGGATAACAATAAAATATAACATAAAGACTAAAAGCCCTGAAAGAGGGGGAGAGATAGATGTACACTATACATCGTATGGTAATCGTTTTACCGTCTGCGTTTTCGGGGCTGGCGATTACACATCGCTCTCTCGTGCCCGAGTCCTGCCTGCACAAAACGAGCCCAAAAGGAATTAGTGAAGCATAGAACAGGGGACACTGACCAGAGAAAATAGAACAGTTGAAGCAGAAGGTATAGATACGTACGAGACACGAAATAAATCACAGTTTACTTTAATTTTGTGATAGGAGAATGATGGACAGATAGGGAGAAACAGGACAAGAAAGCACAGTGGTAAAGTAGAAACAGAATTTTTAAAAAGTACCATAAAATAAAGGCAGGAGAACATTTGTGAGGCAGCGTGGTGGAATCAGGTGGTGGAATCAGGTGGTGGAATCAGGTGGTGGAATCAGCGTGGTGGAATCAGGCTCTCGTCAATTTTCGGGCATATTGAGTTATCGGTATCATCTTAAAGCTTGTTCATTTGTCTCGCTTCCAATGAAAAAATTACCCGTCCATCTTCAATAGAAATGGAGATATTTTGGATTGAAGGAGGTGGGGGTCACCTGATTTAAGAAGAAACATTAGCGAATAAATGGCCGCCAAGGCTTGGTAAA